AAATAAAATTTGTTATTTGTTATAAACTAATGGTGAATCTCAATGAAACTTTGCATAAGTCATGTTTAGTACTTAATATATTTATATAAAAACATTTATATTTTTCTTATTATTTTAACAATTTTTCTTTATAACAATAAAACAAAACTTTATAACAAATAAAATAAATAACCTATAAAAATGTGTTGCTCAATAAAAGCAGAATGTTACGAACACAACTTTCACACGTATGTAGTTTGTTTAAAGCGAAAATATTAATATATGTGTTTTATGCCCTTACAACCTCCTTAAGTACGTATCATTCGGAGGAGCAGGTCCGAGGACAAGGCGCGAATTTGCATGTTCCGGGCCGTTCCGCGCGTCACTCGAGATCGCTCGCGCTCGCGTGCCGCCGCGTGCATTCCGCGGACACGCATGCATATCCCCGGCTAAATTTAATCCGCGGTGGGTGTATTTTCGAATCGGCCCGGCTAAAAATAGCTGGAACGCGTTCCGCTGCATTCCACCGTTGTATTTAGATCCTTCCGATCCTCGTAATACGCGGGCGTGCATGACACACGCGAAACGTACGCGCACGCACATCATTATCCAACAATTTTGGGGAGCATTCCCTGCGATTGCTGAAGGATTTCGACGCATAAGGAAACTCATTATCATACTTTATGTATTTGGAGCAAAATATAAAACTTTCCATCCGTCGTAAAAGGATCAGCGTTAAATGTTACGTCCATTTCTATCAACGTAAATTAACTTTGATTTGGGTTTAATGTACTTTTTATTTTTTTTCTAACGTTTCTAACAATGTAGTTTTGTATGAATCTTGGTTAACTCTTTATCTCTTTCTACTTCAAGAATTAGAAAAAGAAAGAGTAAGTTGGACCCCAAAACCTACATAGAAACAAGCATAATTCTTAGAACTAGAAAAAAAATTGGAAAATAAGTTAAACCGAAATTTAAGTTAATCGATCTGCATTGACAGAAATGAAAGCGAAAAGTACTTATATTCCTCCTTTCTCCATCACATTCGACGGGTATATTTTAATGTTACAACTCGAAGATCACATGCAGAACACAGGTTTGATGCGACAACAAATAAACTATCATGAGTTATCAGTGATCAAAGCTTACGAGATTAGGGCCTTTATTCTTGAAAAGAAACGTATACGAAAAACTAGGGAAATACTATAATATACGCAGGGAATGGAAGTAACTCGTTACTTGTAACGAAGTTACAGTTACAAGTTACTTTTTTGGTAACTTTACTAGTAACTGCGTTACTTTTTTTCTTTGGTAACTGTAACGATAACGAAGTTACATTTTTTTGGTAACGGTAAAGAATTTTACAGTTACTTTTATCGTTACTTTGCACATGATTGGACACGATACGACACAAGCCACTTACACTGTAAAAAAATTTCGTAAATTTACACACATAATAAACGTAAAATAGATTACATAATTAGTTCTGTAAATATAAAAAATCATGCAATTTTACAGAAATTATGTAATTCCACAAAAATTATGTAAATTTGTTTTTCTTGTGTAAATATACCTTATTTTATATTGGAAATTATGTAAATAGCAGGATATTTTGAATATTTTCTGTAATTATCCAAATTTTAGTAATATTACGTAATATAAAAGAAATTTTTCGCGTATTGTTGTTAAATGTATAATAATATATAGTGCGAAATGTATTGTCATATTATCGTTCCTGTAGTTACACATACACATTGTAATTGTACTTTCACAATCTGCTTAGTTCCAAACCAAGAAATTATTTTTATTTGCATATTGCAAATTTACAAACGTGTGGACGTTTACAACTATTATAGTGGATCTCAAAATTATCCAGCATAGTAATTGTAATTTTACACAATTTTTTACAATGCGCTTGAGACTAGAGAAGCCTCTAAGCCCGTCCGCTGTGATTGTTGGTCGTCGATTTAAAAAAAAATAACGGAAAAGTAACGAAAAGTTACTTTCTCAAGTAACGGTAACTGTAACGAGTTACTTTTAAAAATCGGTAACTAGTTACGGTAACTTGTTACTTTTCCTACTCGGTAACGAGTAACTGTAACTTGTTACTTTTAAAAAGTAACTTTCCATTCCCCGAATACACATAACGTATTCTGTAGTATTTCCCTAGACTTTTGTATATGTTTCTTTTCAAGAGTAGAGACCCAGAACGATTAGATGTTACGGAATCTTTATTTAATTAACAGGGTCCTACGAGAAGAAGTGATCGATTATTATTTGGAAGAGAATAAGAAAAGCTTTGGGGTTGGCAGAGCTGATGAGAAGCAAAATCAAATGAAGGAACAAGGAAGACTAAGAAAAAACAAATCAACGAAGAAGTGAAGAAAACAGAAAGATATCTGGAATTCGCGCACATGAGAAAATTCTTCCAAACAATCTTAATAAATGATCAACTACAATCTAACAATAAGCCCGAAAAATTATAGAAGAAGGGAAAATAATATAATTGCTCTCATGCTCGTATGTTTCAGCATTAAATGTGCGCGGAATCAAGTTTTATCTGTTTTTCTAGAAAAAAGGAAACATAAATGAAGAAAATTGCGAAATAAGTGGCAGCTAGGAGTCGCCGGGGCTCCACGTCCATAATTGAGGGTTAATGCAGACGACCGTACGTCATAGCGCGCCCAATACAACGACGACACGGTGATGTCCCGTGGGTCACCATCAGGCCATCCAGGGCTGTCAGGCTAGGCTATCTCGTTCTCTCTCTCCCTCCTCTCTTCTTTTTTTTCCTTACGTCTTTTCCTCTGTCCATCGCCGGCTGTTACACACCACACCACACAACACAACACGACACAACGGAACACAGTGGGACAGACTTCACCGGTTCACAACTATGCGCCTAGCGGTAGGCCTTTGAACGGTGTGCGCCGCGTGCGCGCCTACCTTTCCCCCCGTTCGGGATCTTTCCGAACCCTCAGCTCTTCGTTCTTTTGCCTATCGTCCGTCTTACATCACGCGTCATCGCTCGACTCGCTTCCCCGCGGCTTCTACCGCGCGTATCTACGTCGGCGGTATTTGTTATACCTGCGCGCGTGGAATGCAGCTGGTAAACAAACAAAACCGGACGCCGATTTTCCCCGAGTTCGTCAAACCGGTCCGTCCGTCGACGGGAACGACGACGGGAAAAATCGGAACCGTTGCGTAAACAAACGAGCAGATGCCCCGAGTGATTTGCCGCGTATTTGGGTATCGATTGTGAGGGCACGTTAGTTATGTTCGAAAGGTCGAGTATAGCTGAGAAGTGGAACGCCGCTTATACGTCCCGTCGAAATCGGAGCCCGGAGCGACAAAATGAAAGCGCTGCTCGTGATTTGCGTCGCGGCAGTTTTTCACTCGATCTTCGTCGCCTCGTACGACGACAAGGATTACGACGAGGTAAGTATGAATCAAACGACAAGATCATTCTTTTTTTCGAACCTAACTTACTCATTTACGATCGGAGAGTCCATCCTCTGTGAAGCTTTCATCTGATTTCATCTTTTCTTATATAATTGTTATTTTCAGCGATGCCGAAGTCGCTCTTGCTTAATGTACCGAAAATAGAATCACAAATTCAATTTGCAAATAGAAAAGAAAATGATTAGTACTGATAGCGCAAAATATCGTATTTTTTAATCTAATTTATCCGAAATCCTCTCTCAGTCATTTATTGTATATGTAACACCTTTCAAACATTACCAGTCATATTATTACAAATTCAAATTTCCTTCTCCTTAACAATCGATATTTTCCCTTTTCATCCGTATAAATATTCCATTCGAGATTTTATAGAAAAAGAATCTCAAAATTTTTTTAAATATTTTTCCTATTATATTGTTATTAATATTATTATATTAATATTGTTATCTCTTCTTTATTTTAATATAGATATATATATATATATATATATATATATATAATTTAGCAAATTATTTTATAATAATAATTCTAACTTGTTAGCGGTTAATCAAAATTCTCTTTCCTCTCCTCATTTCTCTATTTTTATTCCTGTTTCATTTACTCTATTTATATTTATTGTCTTTAATAAAATTTTACTCGGTCAACTGTGTTTTGAAGACGAGACATATTAAAACTTCCAGAAATCTATATCTGGAGCTAACAATGAGCTCGAGAAAAACGGTACGATGGAAGCGCTTCGAATACATAACGAAAATCTTATTATTTGAAACAAAGAAGTTTTAAAAAGCCCGAAATATCTAAACAAAATCTCGAATATATCGAAAGTCTTGAATAGTTGAAAAATTTTCACTTTCTACATTATATCATTTCAATTTGCAGAGATAATGGTTTTATTTTCAACAATTTTAAATGATTCGCTTGAGCACTTCAAAAAGAAGGACTTTCTGAATTTTTAAAACTTTCGAGATATTGAAGATCATCCAGATTTTCTTAAAGAACTTACGTAAAAAATTATTAGTTTCAAACGACGTTTGCAGTTATCTATAATTCAACGCTTTAAAAATTCCCATTAAAATTCGAACGTTTCCTACTCGAAAGTATTCATGGCAAGGATTCGCGCTTCGTTCTTACATTACTTGACCCGAACTCCATTTGTCTTTGCTCTCGTCATTTTCGCTCGGTGTATTCGAAAATCTGTCTCGCTACCAACAGACGGCTACGCCATTGACGGGAAACGATCTTGCGGCGTGCCGTTTCTCAGAAGTAAACGCTCTGCCCCTTCGCTCCCGGTGATTGTCGTCCCTCTTCTTCTCCGCCTCCGCGTTCTTCTTATCCACGCGTCAAATGCCGGCGTCCTTTGATGTCGCTACGACCGTGTCAGCCTTTTACGTATATCGCGCGTAGTCACGCCGGTCATCGATCTCTCCGTTTTGATTAATCGCTTCTTGATACGCGCGCGAGGCACAATACGTACTCCTGTGATCGCATTTACTTATGCAGTTCGAGATAAACAGATATTCTGCGTATCTCGTTCCTCTGACACGCATTCGTCGTTATCTTTCCTTTTACAACTGCCTTCCTTTTATGGAAATATGGACTACATTTTACACGACACCCTTAATCCTTTAATAACAATCGTAATTATGAAACTGGCCATTCAAACTGGCTATTCCTCTGAAGAATAAAATGACTGTGATTGGCCAGTTTCAACTTAAAGATGCCGTATAAATGTAGCAGTAGTCGATATACGGTATCGTTTTTTATTATCCATTGAATATCAAGAGGGATGAAACGACAATTGTGCTTTCCAAGAGACATGGGATGGTTTCCATTTGATGACACGAGTCGACGCAAATATTATTCTTCGTTGGGATTCAGTGAGTAACAAAGATAGAACGACACTTGTGTCACCAAATGGAAAGCACTCACAGTCTATCTCTTGCTGGAAAGCATCTTTTTTCAGATTTTTAAAAGTATTCCTAAGACTCCATGTCGTCTATAATATGCTACAATTAGGGGTTAAAAATCTCACGATTTTAGACTTAAAAAAAATTTTAATTTTTCAGAAAATACTTTAGTTAATCGGCGTAATTTGGCACATCGAAGCTTAAATGTCTTAATATCATAAATATAAAAAATATAGAAAGAAAGAGAAAGTTATAAGATAATCAGTTATTCGTCATTTAACTTGATATCATCATCATGATTTTATATTCGAAATAATAGAACTTACAATTAGAGTCTCCTAATCATCGCAATACAATAATCGATGTTTTTAAACTCACTATTTTCTGTTTTTCAGGCACAAATTTCTACGAAGGCGCGAGATGTCGAATATAAGGAAACTCGTACGAAATCATACAATCATATTTCGACGACACCCATTTCGTTCAAGCAAAAAGATGGTAACAAACACAGACAGAGAGCTAATTCTTCACGACCCAGAAACCGTACGACGCATCGTCCTCGTAAGGGTGGTAAAGGATCTCGGCGGAAGACGGATCGCGTTCCACCTGTCGTAAAAATTCCCGAGAGCAATCTTTATGAGGAAGAGCGCGAGCATGAAAGCATTAACGTTTGGAATTACAAGGACAAAAACGATGACGTGGACGACATACATCAGATTCGCGAAACTCTCGATAATTATTATCCGTTTCACGGAGGATTGGAGTCTGTCCTGGCAAGATTAATCAAAGCGCTGGAGAACAATACTGGAAATGTGTCGAATTCGAACGCGTCGAATTTGAGTGTGTCGAATTCGAATGTGTCGAATTCGAACGCGTCGAATTTGAACGCGTCGAATTCGAACGCGTCGAATCCGAATATGTCGAATTCGAACGCGTCAAATTTGAATGCGTCGAATTCGAACGCGTCGAATTCGAACGCGTCAAATCCGAACGTATCGAACTCGAGTGCCATTGATGACATGAGCAGCTTCGACGATGAAGATCGCTGTCAGAAGTGGCTGGACAACAGGGAGAAGATCGAGAATGCCTTTCCGGGTAAAAACGAAACTTCATAAATCGAGCTCGCTAAATGCAATTTGGCGAGAGTACGTGGACGACGTCCGACGTGTGTTTGTGTGGGTGTGCGTGTCCGCAGGATCCGTCGCCGACTTGCCAGCGTGCCCCTGCCTGTATCCGAACACCATCTTCTACGACAACCAGATCTGGGATAAGAAGCGAAAGAAGCAATATCGATGGCGCGACGTGAGCCACGACAAGGACCGGCTCGCGATCTACAAACCTGGCGCCGCTTATTGCGTGCAGACTCTAGCGTCTCAGCAAAGTGAGAGCGCTATCGTGCAACACTGTTGCTACGATGAGAATAGAAAACTACTGACCCGTGGCTCCGGCGCCGGCACACCGTACATCGTCAGTCCGGAAATCTCGCCTCTGCTGCACGACAAGATCGACTTGTTGCCTTGGCGACTTTGTAAGGGTGATTTCACGAGGTACGTATTTTCGCCCGAAAAACGCACCAAGTCGAGAAAAAATCAAAATGATGATTTTTTTTTATTTTACAAAATTTAACCGTTTATTCACGTTAAAGATTAAAATGAAATTCTACTGTTATATGATAAGATATACAAAGCTGGTTTGGCAGGCAACGTTAACGAACGAGATCGAACAGAGTAATATGATAGAATGTTTATTACCCTTGATATGGTTCGCTTATACACTTTTGTATGTAACTCTTTAGAAATGGCATCTTGTCACATTCATCTTACGTATTTTTATTACGTTACAGGTACAACGAAGTGAGAATACCGAATAATGATAACGACTGCGAGATAAATCCGGATGATGAAGAGTATCAACATCAAGTGGAAGGTGCGAAAGATTATTGAGACACGATACCGTCGCAATTGTACCAAAAAAGAGCAATAATTTGCCTAATTTCCACTTCAATTGTGTTCCCAAAAGAGAGTAGTCTGAAAGATTTATATTTATTTTCTATAATTATTTCTTATTTCATTAAATCTCTTTTCGTATACTACATTCTAGTTTTGTATCAATATACCATGTTGAAAAGACCATTTAAAGAATATCGTGTGTGTATCACATAAAAATTATTTTCTTTTTTCGCGTGATGATATAAATATTACGACAATTATTAATTGCAGCGATGGGATATTAACGAAATTCCAAGCTGCTTACTTTTCTTAGAATGAGAGAAATAAAAAAAATTATGTGCAATATCACACGGTATTCCACATACAAGTATTATTCATTTATAATTTATATTTAAGGAATAAGCTAAACAGTGTAAAAAAAAAATAAAATCTTGTTTTGTACATCATACAACTACTGAAATTATATTCCACAATGCAATGTATGTTGTATTTTTAAGTTATACTTTTTATCGAATTCTTTCTTGTTGCAATCTTTTTTAACGTTGTTTTCAAGAACTTGAGTAACATAATTAATAGCATCGTGTTGCTTTTTTTCTGATATATCAGTATTCTTGATTACTGCCTTTCCGATCGATATTTTATTTGTTTTTTTCTTGTTGACATTCAGCAGATCACAACAGGATCGCTCTTTTCCGGTTTAAGGAACGAGTGTGATCATGTCGTATGTCATATGTGCAGGGTTGGATAGTGCTAAGTTAAAAAGATAAAAGTTAAGTTAAAAAATTAATTAATTTTAATTTAACTTAGTTACATTTTAGACTCTTAACTGTTTAACTTAATTCAGTTACATTTTATCGGTAACTATTAACTTTTAATTTGATTTTTTTTAAGTCAGTCCTTAAATACAATGCGAGAGGCTAATAAGTATATAATTTAGTAATTTTATATTGTATAATCGTTACTCGTGAACATAAATAACCAGATTCTTTAATAAATAAGCTATGAGAATGGAAAAATACGAAAAATACGTAAAATAGTCAAACTTTTTCTTTTTTTTTTTATTGTTCGAACCAAATTTAACTTTTAACTTTCTAATTACTTTTTTTATTAACTTAACTTTTAATTCAATTAATTTCATTATGAATTAACTTATGTTTTAATTAAGTTAAATTTTCAAGGTTGTTAACTTTAATTTAACTTAGTTAAAAAAAAAGTTAACTTACCCCCAATCCTGCATATGTGAATCCGACAAACGCCGTTTTTTAAGCACGTGCACAATATTTCTCGATATGATGAGCGCACAATGCAAATCGACGCGATGCATATAATTTTATAATGAACGGATTAGCGATTGCTAGATACTATCACTGTTCCGAATACTTTTGAAACTTTTGAGTTCGTTGGACCAGAAGAGAAAAACGATTATATATTTATAAATAGAACATTGAGAGAGAGAGAGAGAGAGAGAGAGAGAGAGAGAGAGAGAGAGAGAGACATATTCTTAATATTTTTGGGCGATAATTTCAAATAAATTATTACAAACAGTTTAATATATTTACATTGTATGTATTTGTCAAATTTTTTTCATTTTATGTAATAATAAATGTTATAAGAATTATCGGCTAAATAATTAATGTAGAATAACAATAACCATTTTTATTCATTTTTTTACTATAAGAGAAAAATGCAAAAAAAATGTCAACGTCACACGGTGTTCCCAAGCGGTCACCCATCCAAGTACTAACCGTGCCCAACGTCGCTTGACTTCAGTGATCAGACGAGAACTGGTACTTTAGCCCGTGGTATGGATGTTGACGCGTGTAATATCCTTATTCATAGATGACATTGCTCCAAATGATTCTATTATTTCAATATTATTTCCAAAATTTTTTATGTAACAATACATTTTTGTATAATTTTTATATGCACTTGTTATGTTATAACAGTAACTGCTGCACTGAAAAAAAAAAGATGTGTACTATACAAGTATTTTTAATCATCAAAATTATTTTCAATAAAAATAATGCTATATAGTACACATCTTTTTTTTTTCAGTGCAGCAGTTACTGTTATAACATAACAAGTGCATATAAAAATTATACAAAAATGTATTGTTACATAAAAAATTTTGGAAATAATATTGAAATAATAGAATCATTTGGAGCAATGTCATCTATGAATAAGGATATTACACGCGTCAACATCCATACCACGGGCTAAAGTACCAGTTCTCGTCTGATCACTGAAGTCAAGCGACGTTGGGCACGGTTAGTACTTGGATGGGTGACCGCTTGGGAACACCGTGTGACGTTGACATTTCTTTTGCATTTTTCTCTTATAGTAAAAAAATGAATAAAAATGGTTATTGTTATCCTACAATAATTTTTAGACTACTAAAATTATTTATTCCTTTACAAACATTGATTTACGACGTTGATTTTTAAGAGAGAATTTAGCATTCTTATGTTGACTCTATTTGAAAGTTTTGAATAAATTTACACTAAAAATAACTCATTAATCTAATAAACAATGAACAACAAATGCAAAATTTATTCTTAAATTATTTCGAATTGTCTTATCGTAATCCCATTCGATAAACACGAATTAGATAAAATACGAATGAATGCGAACGAACGATGCTTAGCATTCTGTTCCCATGACTGGTTATTCGTTCGATTGTATACATGCCTTAACATGGTATAGGGAAGAAGCATAGGGAATAAGAAGGTGATTTCCTAGCAGTATCCTTCCCACAGAGTGTATAATACACCGTTGTTCTTCCCTAAAATAAAATAGCGAAGACTGAGAGAGGAAACAGTCCAAATCTAAAAGAAATTTTCTTTCAAGCAAGCGATTCGGTAATCTGACATTGTTGGATAAGCGAATTGACAATTTGAAAAATGAGTAATTCTTCGGAAATTTCATTTTCTCATATAAAAAATTGTGGGTACCATAACAAGTCGAGCAATCTTCAATTCCTACATGAATACATATACGTGTATCTTATACATATAAAATCAATTGTGTAGCTACTAGTGTATGTATGTGTAGGAATAAAGTCGGTCGTCATGGTTACCGCTTGCAAATGTAAGCAGCGGCCATACACTTGTCAAATGTACCGTAAAGTCTGACTTAAGTGCCTTAAGTTACAACACAGGGGCATTCACCTGATATTTCGATGCAGGTTTTAACGCTGCGTAAATAATAAAGATGGATTGGGCTAACGATCTTGAGATCACTTCGAAAAAGGTAAAGTCTTTAAAAGATTTTCCCAAGTCCCCCTATAGAGCAGATCTATCCAATTTGAGTTCCACAGCCAAAATGCAAAGCCATCGACGTAAAAAATTCAATGTGAATAAGATTTTAGGAACTATAAAGTGTTGATAAACGTCATTTAGATGCGTATATCAACACTTGACAGTCCCCGAAATCTCATCCACATTGAATTTTTTCGCATCACTGGCTTTGCATTTTGGCTCCAGAGCTCAAATTGGACAGACCTGCTACAGAATATTAATGAGAGAATCAATTATCTAAAAAGATATGATATATAGTTTTAAAAAATTCTAAATGTGCATTGATCAATTTGCAGCTACTACCTCGTCTAGGTAGGCGTGCAGGTCAGAATAATTTACTGGAAGATAATAAATCCGATGATGATCCTCTGGAGAGTCCTATTTCCTTATCGTCTGGAAAGTCTATATCTATGCAAAGACCAATAGTTCCACCTCGATTGAGAAAAACCGGCTGGGGCGACGAATTGAAAAGTGGCAAGTAAGTAAATTGTAAATTAATTACAAAGCCAACAAGAGCAATAAAATTAACAATGAAAATAAGGGCTACGAGCCAAGCTCTTAATGCTAGAACTACAATAACATATTAACAAACGTTTCGACCCCTATTGGGTCATTCTCAATGTTGAAATTACAATTTGAACTCAATGACTCATTTGAAAAACAAGAGTAATAAAAATTGTTAACTCTTTTTTGTCATTTATGCAATAACACTGTTCATAACAGCAACATTTCTACTATCTATTTTTCCATCTACTTTCGTTGACTTCTAGTGTTTCGAAAAAATTAAAAAGTTTATTTCATAAATAGTTAAATGCACGTAAGTGAAAAAAGAAATAAAAGATATTCAAAAATTCATATTGCATATATATTCATATCTTAAGTTCGTGTTAGACTTATATTGATTTATAATATGCAATAAGCGAGCCCACCAATTTTACTCAATGCAAGTAATAATTCTCTGTAGTGGAGTTTATATTATATATCCAGAAGAAGACACGTAATACAAAAAATAACAAATGTATAAATGAATTAAAACAAATTTGTTAATGTTTAAGTACAACTAGTTAAATAATTCTTTTTTCATTGCACAGATCAAAGGCGACGTCAAACATCATTGAACAGTGAGTACAATACATAAAAGTGAAGAATCAAGTATCTAGCTATTGATGAACCTATTTCTTAGGGAACGTTTTCGAGTGATTGAAAAGGAAGAACAAGAAGATGGTGAGCTGATTTCGGACAAACCATATTAAGAGCTTATATACTGTCCAATTATTTAATTAGTAATTTTACCTCATTTAGATCAATTCTTTTATTAATGTAATTTTTCAATATTCACAAAAATAGACATAAAAAAATTGAAATACTTTATCACTCACTACTTCTTCATATTATTGATCTCTGTATTTGTAGATATTCCAGTTATACCAGATTTGGATGAAATTCAGGAAGATAACATCTCATCTGACATTGCAAGTGCTCCCACGTAAGTAATTTTTATTTTTATTATCTACTAGCACATCCCCTGTGCACGCTACTCCATTATACTCTCCTTTTTAGACATTATGAAATATAATGTCACACCCAAATCAATGCGTCAAATAACCAAATCCTCCTCTTCCAGTCCTTTCCAAATCTCTTCTTTCTAATCCATACCTGTCCCAACATTGCCGCCGCCTTTCCCACCCTTTCCTTCACATGCTCTTCCTGCCCCCCCCCCATTCTTCTGCAACGTATAACCTAGATATTTAAATTTTCCTACCTCCTCTATCCCCTTTCCTTTCCATCTCCAATTCACCTTATTACTCCTTCCCCTTCCCTTTCTAAATCTCTATTTAGATTTACTATTTTTGTTTTTTCCCTATTCAGTTCTAATCCCTTCCTATCCACATAGCCCTGTAATCTCTCTATCATGCTTCTCATGCTCCCCTCCTCCTTCGCTAGTAACATTATATCATCCGCGTATGCCAACTCATATATCTTCCTACCCCCCAAATTTACCCCCTCCCCCCTCCCCCATTTTACCTTTTCCATCTCCTCCTCTAAGTCCGCCGTCATCACATTGAATAATAGCGGATACCTCTGTCTTACCCCCCTCACCGTCCAAAAACTTTCTCCTAATTCCCCCACCCCTGTTCTCATTGTACTCTTTGTTTCTTTTTATAGCTCACCCACCCTTTCTAGCAGCCCTTCCCTTACCCCCCTCTGCCTTAGTGCCTCTATCAATACTCCTCTATTCACCGAATCAAATATTTCTTTGTTTATATATTGCAAGATGAATTAAATTGTGGTGTGTAATTTTTAGAGTCAATGCAAATAGAGTGACTGCGTATGAGGAATTGGACACTGATTTGGTAAAAAATGCTGCATATACATCGTTAGACGGCGTCAGCCTTTCTCTCCTTGCAGACAAATTGTACAATGAGAATTTAGTGAAGGAACCGGATGAAGTTTGGAATTGGAATCTTCTCTTCACGCAAATTTCTTCAGAGATTAATAGCGAGACGCAGAAAAAGATCGAAGCTTGACGAAGCATTTTGTATTTTAAAATAAAAATGAAAATTTCTCGTGCATATAAATATAACAATAATATTCTCGATTATATCATTCATTTGCAATATTGTTTTAAATCGATTCCCAGAACTCATCAGAAACAATCCTTGAAACTAATGTAATCGTAATCAGTCTAATTTCCCAAATCGAAGTCTGCAAAGAAGTGCAACATTTTTTTCTCTTGTACGAGTTGAAATAAAAATAACTATCACTTAATTCACTATTAATGTCATTTCAAATTAAATGTAATCTTTTTATTGATAATGATCTCATTGAGGTTGAAATGTTCGTTCTAGCATTAAAGTATTTGTTTGGCTCGTAGCTTTTCTTCTTGAGTCAATTCAAAGATTTCGTAAGATAATAGGTCTGTTCTTTTTAGCTGAACTGCTAAACTTTTGCACCCCGTTTATCTTTCTTCCTTTTTGCTTCAGGAAGAAAGAAAAAGAAAGATGAACTGGTGCAAACCCAGATAGCAACGTGTCTATCTTGTTGTTGGCATGTTGCTTGCTAAGCATGCATTGCTAAGTATAGGTGCGTTCCGTATTGCGCATGATGTGCATGATGCATTCATTGTCCTTGTTTAACATTTGGTGAGCAACAAGGATAAACGATGCATTATGCGCATCATGCGAGAAACGGAACGCACCCTGTGTGTTGCTACCAGAATTGCGGCAACTGAGTCCTCATTTGTTGGCAACTTGATGCCTTCACGATCTTATAATATTAAGTAGCAACTTACCAGCAATTTGCCGACAACTTTAAACTCGTCATCATCAAAATTCATACTATTACCATCAAGTCGCTATAATAATATGCAACATCATACAATGCTGTCGTATTGTCGACAACGCATAATAACGTTGACGCAGCTATCTTGTTGTTAAACTGCTGGCAATACATATACACATTGTTGTCTGCATGTTGCTACAATGTCGGTAAATCGTTGAAGACAAATCTACAGCAAGTTACCAGCATCATAAGCAATCACAGATTTGTGCGATTTTGCTGAGACATGCTTCGCTATCTAGGAAAGTTCAGCTGAAAAGAATGCCCAATAAGACCGAGTTGAAGGAAAGGCAGAAAAAATTCCAAATTACAAAGGGATTGGACTCAAAAGCCAAAAAATGGCGTACCGCCATCAGCAGTGCCTGCATATGGAAGCGACAAATTACCTCGTCTGACCTATTCGATTACCCCCCAATTTGGAAATCGCGGTTCTTCGAGGAGTGACGTGAAGACTCAGACCGTGCAGGCGTGCAAATCCGTGGTCGTAAGACGAGCCACGAAGATGCATGCGCAATCGGGAGTCTGACACTCAAGCTACTTGAAGCTTACGACAACGTGACAACACCCACTGAGCAGATCTGCCATAGCTCTAACGTTAGCGATCAATGTTCAGTTGTGCCATCACTAGCACACGCTTCCGAAAGTCACCCTTTTCCCTGCTCTATATATACGAATCTATCAGTTCTGAAGCACATGCGAGAAATCGACGGCTTTTTATCTCCGATGTCCCAAGTGAATCTGCTACGATCAGACATCGTTTCGAGCATCTCCATGAAATATTTCATTAAACTTAAAATGTCTTGACATGTCGTTAATCAAAATTTTACGATTATTATCTAAAAATCGGATGTAATGAAAATTAATCGTGCAGACAATGGCCATCTAGTGGCAGATTTCGTACTTTTGTTGCATAAAACAAATACGATACACGCAGCACTCACGACGCAGACGCCAGCAGGCGCTATCTATCGCCGCTATCAGCGATGACAGCGATAAATACACGAGTTTGACGACGAATAGCTTGACTTTCGAAAGCATGGAAGAAATTGCGGAAATTGATGGACGAACGTTTAAAAATAATCACGAGACGATCAGTGAGAGTTAAACTAACGAGATTTGGTTAAAATTGGTTCGATTTGTCGTGATCAGGATAATTTCCCAATTGATCACCGTGCATTTATTTTGCTATTTTTTTAGCATTGTGATCAAACACGTTCGTCAAACTCGTCGACGGCTGAACGACGATTGATCGTGAAGGCCATTGATTTTTCAAAAAAGTCAGAAGTCACATTCGTGATGCCGTTGATGTTTGTCAACACAAAAGGCCAGCTTAACCTGTTTTAACCTTGGTTGACCCTGATCAATGAATTACGACAATGTTTTGTATTACAACACACAATTGATTAATCAATTCTTTGATTAAATAATTAATGCTTCTCGATTTCCGTCGCCACTATGACACACGAATGATATAGTATGTTGTTAGTTCTTAGTATATCGGAATTTAGAAGTAAATGTTACATGATACAAGGCTGCGTTGCAACTATTTAGTGAGTACATTCTCTCTAAAACTTTTAGAATTTTACTTTAAAAAATGAAATTTTCTCTATTCTATTCTTAAAAATTGAAATTTTTGTTTAAAGACTTTTAATGCTCTTTCAAAACTTTCAATTTTCATTCTTTAGAATGAGATTCCACCATAAGGAATTTAGAGATTTAATTTTGTACCACGTATTAATTTTAAGCACAATCTCTGTTTACAATTTTGATAATTAAGGATTTCATTTTACTTAATTATTATTATTATTTGAGCTGTTTAATTTATTTACGCAATATTTTCATTAAAAGTGTTTACTAATCTTTTTATAGATTTAATACAATATATATTGAAAAGGCCAGCGACATGTTTCGAGATACTCAAAAAATCACCGTGGAAGACGGGAGTGCCCCGTCGGCATCGTATGTCATAAACATTCGAATGGAAGATATGTTGGAGAAATTGAAGTTGTTGAATTACGACGAGGAATTTGTACAAGAACTAAAAATAAAGCCGATCAATAGGTGAGATATCGTAATGTTGATGCAGTATGTTCTGTTTAATATCTGATAAGATAATCGTAAACATTGGAAAAACAGGCATCACTTTGTAATTCCAACGAATCCTGGTGAACAATTTTACACGTTTACTTGTCTGGCTGCATGGCTGATTAGAAAAGCAGGAAAAAAATTTGAAATACCACAAGAATCAGATGATCCTAATTCCACGATAGCTCTAATCTTAGATTATCTCAGAGAAATCGATATACCTGTGGAATTCCCACCCAATAAACTCAAACAGGGTAGTGGAGAACACGCTGTTTATGTTTTGGATAACTTGGCTGATAATGCTTTAAAGGTCACACAATTCAAATGGAAAAGGTACAGCAATTGGTAGCTTCCATTGTAAGTTTTATTAAGTTAAATAAACTATTGAACTGCGATTAATATCAGGATAAATATTCCACCCGATGAACCTACTCCGGAACCAGATATCGAGGATGACGATGCAGAATTAATCTTGGAGAAAGTGGAAGAGGAAATGATGGCCGAGTATGACGACGACGATCAAGATATCTTACATATAGACGATATTACAAAAGTTTACGGACAAAATATTGTAGGTGAAATTTTATTCTTAGAGAATTTTAAATATCGTAATATTGTTATATTAAAATTATCAATTCTAGATTTTCTTACGTTTCAGAGCGAGACGCAAAAATTAGACAGCATTTTAGAATCTACGACTAATAGGGAAGAGTGGCAATTAGAATTAGAAAAAGTTCTACCTCGTTTGAAAGTAACTGTTAAGACAGGTATTAAATATTTTTGAATGAAAATCGGTTAAGTAAAACGAGCGTTATTGCATACTTTAATTTATTGCAGATTCAAGAGATTGGAGAGCGCATCTCGAGCAGATGAAACAATTGCGTACGAATATCACGACCAATCTGAGCGATACAAAGGCTCACTTGAACAAAATCTACACCGATATCGGGAGTACTTTAGACAAAATTAAGACTAGGGAAACTTATCTTAACAAGCAGCTCGAACCGTCTTTAACAGACTATCGCTCGCTGCAAGTGAGTTATTCAATTTTATATTTTTATAATAAGATTTTATTCGGACCGACAAGAATTAAACACTATAAGCATATTCGGGCCTATGACGGTCAAAGCTAGATCTTTTTTGCCTAAATAATTCCCAGTGAATTATCTATATCCTATATATATATACATGCATATATATCATATTTTTGTAGTTATTCAAACTACGTGCCGAAATTTTTCCGGACTTTAACGCAATTAAACTACTACAATAATATCACAAGTTAAATTAAATTGACAATGTGCTGAAAACCTTAAATACATTTATTGTGAAAAATATTACCTCGGCCGGGACTTGAACCCGGATCTCTTGTATTCCGTACGAGTGTCCTAAGCCATTAGACCACCGAGGTTCGGTAAAGTCTGGAAAAATTTCGGCGTGCAGTTTGAATAACTACAAAAATATGATACTTATATTTTTATATTTATATTTAAATATTATATTTAAATATTATATTTTTATATTAAATTTTTGTACGTATTATTAAATTACACATACAGAGAGTGACATGTAAATTATAATAATTAATCTATAGGAAGAATTATCGAAAGTCAAGGAACAGTACAGAGACGTTAGTGGTGGTGTTACCGAACGAACGCGTGTTCTTAATAAATTAGTGGAGGAGTTGGAACATGTGAAGAGAGAAATGGATGAGAGAGGCTCCAGCATGACTGATGGAAGTAAGTATAAATTTACTTCAAAACATTTAGAGTAAATCTCACTCTTAAAGATTAAAAATTGAGCTACTCTTTTTTTTTTAAACTGGCTCAATTTTTACTCTTTGGAGTGAGATTCTACTCCAAAGAATTTAGAGAGTATAGATATCATTCCGACGTGGTTCAAATATCTAATTTTTACTCTAAAATGTATATTTACAGCGCCGCTTATTAATATAAAGAAAATGATCACGAGGATGAAGAATGAAATCTCCGAGATGAATATTCGAATCGGCGTGTTGGAGTACAGCTTGATGTGCATGAGAGTACGGGATCGAACACAGTTACGAGAGGATATGAATAGCACGAGTACCTCAGTAATAATTTAACGCACATCGTATATCTTTATTATTTGTGTTTGTATATTTCAATCCGTCCAACGTGTGATGTTACATAGTCTAGTCTTGATTACATATTAGGTCTGTTTTTTTGTGATTG